TAACCTCAATCATCAGAATTCCACCATGGATCTCACCTCGAAACAAGCCACGTAACATCCGACCGTTTCTCAAGTGATCTGATTTAGTTCAGGAAACCGCCCTGACTCCGATAACAGTCAGTCTCTGAACATCTGCATAGACATGCTGCAACTCAACATCCGCAGTCTAGCGGTGTTTCCCACTCACTTGATAGTTTCGGATCTTGCCCAAAGGGCACGGCGTGCTGCAGATGGAGGAGGGAGTCGTGTTCGTGTCTCCGCGCCACTTCATCTTGCTCGTGCTCAAGTTGTTCAGACTGGAGGCGGATTGGATGGCCGGGTAGAGGCGGCCGGCACACGAGCCATCGCGACCGTGATAGGGGCCGCGTTGTAGCGTTTACAACGATGCTGAATGCCAGAGTACATTGTTGGGTTGAAAGCAGTTTTAATCTAATTTTCACTGCAGTGAACATTCCTGTGACAATGAGCCAGCGCGATTCAAAGCGCTAATGGTGGCATCGACAGTGTAGTGGTTACAGAACAGAGCATGTTCTGCAGCGGAATATATTGAAGCAAGTAGCAGATGTGATGAAACAGGCTCACTTATAACTATTGTTATATTTCGAAGCGGGAAAAGACCGCCGCAGACAGCACGCTTCCTCTGCTCAGTAAATATGCTCCACAATCATCATTGTTTGATTACGTTATTGTACCTTGCACAAGTTTGATTGAGAGGCAATTGACGGCCGTCATATCTGGAAACCATGATCACGAACGACAGACATAAACGACTCGAGAATTGTGTTTTTGTTGACCTTCATCACCGCATGGCTAATGGAATAGCAGGATTTGAATGGCGTTAGTATGGCGCCATGAATGTCTGAAGGGCTTTAGATTGGCCCCCGAAAAAGTATGCACATGCTAACGGGCATACACCTCAGCAATTAAAGAGTTTAGGATCTTAAGAAGGTAGTCGTGCGTCTGGGAAACCAGATGTATGGGGCTCGATTCCCCGCGGTGCCCAACCTTCCTGCCGCGGTGAGAGGCAGGCGACGTCGTATGGCACTCGGCAGATGAGTGCGTCGCTAAGCACGCACACACGCACACAAGCCGGTGACATGCCGATCGGAAAATATCGTTGGCGTCCAGATCTGAAGAACTTTGATGGGATATTCAGCACGGACCCTATGAAGTCCCATCACATTTAAACTATGCATGTAACACATCAGCAGCTCAGCGACATAACAACGGCGCTCTCTCCCACCCTCCTCCACCCCGCCGTATCACCCGTTTGACATCGTCAGCGGGTGGCAAAACGCGCACGCTGGCAAACAAGCGGCGACACGCGCCGGGCCGACCATGACCGCGGCCGGCCAGCGCCCGATGCCTCCGGCGCCGCCCTGACCCGGCCCAGTCGGGTCGGTCGCCCCCAGACAGCGGCCGGAAGGCGGCTGGCACCCGTCGCGGGGCGGGTGGCTGCGGCCTGTCAGCACAGACGCCGTCACGCCGCACCCCTGACAGCGCGCCGCCACGACATACGGGGTGATAGGTCATATGTCGAGCGGCTGAAATGTCGCGCTCTGTTGTCCGCTGGTGGGACGTTTCGAGGATGTGCGGAATGTGGATCGCGGTGCGTCGTGCCAACCGCTTTGGCGGTGCTGGCGGGGATGCTAAAGAAGGTCTCGAAGACAGATAAATCAGTAAATACATCATACAACGTCCCTTGGCCGCCTCACGTACGCATCGACATTCATGACTTCGATGTTGTTAAAATGATAAATGGTAAGGATTTTTGTTCTGTTTTGTTTTTGAACGGCACAAAGAACCGATGTCCAACGTCCTTGTTAAGCTATTTGTGCCACTTAAAAATTTGAGATTTAAAAACTTTCACCTTTAAGATATCCCAAACATACTTTCACGTAGACTAACACGGAGTTTTAGCATCACGGATGGAATAATCGTACGGACTGTCGGGGCCTTGTCTGTCGCATTAGTAATATACGACGCTTCTGGCGGCTAACTCCTCAGCGGTTTCCAGGTGATATGGAGGCCTGAGAGCGACTGGATGACGTTTTAATTTCAGTCACATGCACGTCAAAACCCGGTTTTTCTCCTGGGATCTATTGGGATTCGAACTGAGTCTTCTGATAACAGAACAACACTCTGCGAACTGTGCTAACCGAGAAGTACAAGAGCACCTGACATCTTGATCACCTGTCTCCATAACACCTGATGACGGCGGGAGAATAAACTGGCCGAAACGTCGTACACATGATAGCACAGCAGACGAGGACGGTAGTCCAACCAACAATTCCATTGATCATTTCTATACTATCTTCGATCATCCGTGGGTTAGCACCGGGCGGCAGTCGGGGCTCTCAGCCGTGCCACAATATTCCAGTGCACGAGTAAGGTATGGGCACATGAAGCAGTTCGGGCCTCCCACATCGGCTGAATGCTAACTAAATGGCATTGCAGTGCATTGCAAGACTGGCCCTTTTCCAGCATAGCAAGCATGTTATCGTGAGGATTGCCGGGGCTGGATTGCGACTCACAATGAATACTTCACGCCGTAAAGGGATTATGTGACAATTTTCCTCGCCTCATTTTTCACGCAACGGCCTCGTTGGTGCTCAGCCGACTTCGACAATGGGTTACGGCATCCTGCAAAACCATCAGAACATGGTACTAGTGGTACTGACCGATCCCGCAACGACATTATGCCTTGGGTGTTATCTAGCTGTTACGGTACGTGGATTGTGGGCCACAGGAGAGAACGACGGGAGCTTTCTTTTGAAAGTCTGCCGCTGTCAGCATGTTCGTATTTGCATCTGGTGCTCTGGTTACCAAGCCGTCAGCGCCATGTTTCGTTATTGTCTCCTGTCAGTACTCACCTTTCGACCCATTCACCGATTTGGTAGTATTCGTACTTCCCATCCCTCTTCTGGAACTGGTAGATGTTGTAGAAGCCAGTCGCGTCACCGTTTTCGTCGAAACGAACTTGTCGTTTCTGCTTACCTGAGGACACGGTACAAACAATGCAAACGACCCCCAAAAGCTCTGTCATCTCGCTATCGCAAGCTGGCCATCGACACTCTCTAAAAATGAAACGCGATAACACTCGAGTCTGAAGCTCCACATCCCGAAGTCGTTCGGGTACTTCTCTCGGCAGGGGCCATGACGGTGACCCCTTGCCCTCTCCCAATACAACTGCTCCCGCTGGCGCTTCTCAGCGTCTGGGGAGCACCAGCGGGTCCGCTGTGTGCCGTAATTGAGCGTCTGCCTCCGATACCGGCCACGTTCGATCTGTCGTCAGCACGTCTGTCAGCACTAATCACAGCCCAGTATTCGCCGTACGACTACAAAGTCACGTGCCCTGTTACGCCACGCGCCAGCTGACGACGATACCAGGATTTTTTGGCTGTGCTCGATCTATCGTCAGCACGTTTGAAGGCATCAATCACAGCCCAGCATCCGCCCTACGTCACGTCACGTGACCACAGTCACATGGCCTGTTACGCCGCGCGCCGGCTGACGATGATGCCAGGACTTTTTATCAGCCCGTCAGCACGAAGAAGTCTATGTCTATGTTTTGTCTATTGTCTTGTCTATGTCAAGTCTATGTCAAGCGCTACCAGATTAAGGAATCACTCTGAAGCGGGAGTTTGATTTGGTAGCCCTTGCATTGACGATTACGTTAGGTGGGATCGGGCACTTGGCTCTAATTTTGGGGGAAATGCGACGTGAGGTAGATAAGGAGGGAATCCAAGTGCCAAGAGAAGCAATGAAAAGGTGAATGACGGTGGTTGGCGTGGTGTAGGGTTGCGTAACCCAGTAAATTAATAGCGTTATAAGTTAACACTTAAAATGAGGGGTAAGAAATTGAAATGAATTGGAAATAGGCAGAAGCACTCAACATACAGATGGGATAGATGATGGTAATATCTGAGTAGAAGCCACACTTCCCGACACCCCTTTGCACGCAGTGTCCCGGCGGTAAGCCAGAGTTGGTGTGTGGTCTGAAGCGAAAGGTAAAGAGAGATTGGAAAGTAAAGTTAAAAGCTTTCCCGTCAGCCCACACATCGCACGCACCATCAGCACGCATGACGTCACACATTCCAGCTGAAAATCGTGCTGACGACGGATCGAACGTGGCCAACGAAAACTGATAACCGATGATCAAGATGTCTATGTGAGACGCCCAGCCGCCAAGTGCCATCACATATCCACCCAACGGCAGTCGGCAGGGCCGATCAATGCCCCGTCATCGGACGGGGGCGGGCGGCAGCATATTTGCTCTCGGCGACGGCGGCCGGACCAATGCCCGCCGGAGGCGGCGGCGGCGGGACCTCGGCGGCCGGGTCCCGCCGCGTGCCACCGCCGGCCCGCTGGCGCTCCCCGGGGACCCGCGCAGCTGGCCCCGCACTGAATGAGATGCAGTCGTCGCGCCGCGGTTGATCTGGGGCAGGTCGGGCGGGAAGGAGGGAGGGCGGAGGCGGGAAGAGCGCCATAAAAGGTCGGGAGGGTCGGCCGCGGGCGACCGGCGGATTGAGTTTGACTGGGGGATCGCCGTGGTCCGGGCGAATGGTCCAGTAAAGAACATGAGCAGGGCTATCGGGCGCGCTAGCACGCATGACAGCGTCGCGTGCAGACGATTTGGCGGATAATCAAATAAATATAGGCGGCGTTTATCTAACACTCACAGAGCAGAATCGGGCGGGCTATCCAGTACAACGACACATAACAGCATGGCATGAGACGGATTCGGAAGACCGTCGAACAAAACTGGGCTGCGTTTTAGCCCATCCGTCAGGGCCTGAGGAAGTGCTAGCGACTTCAGGGCCGTTTGCGTCGCGCATTATTCATAATGGTGCAATGCATCTTTGACATTTTCTGGCGACTACCGACATTACATTCATTTATCAACGCACCGCATTTGAATATTTCACGCCTCTCCAACGCCTCGCGCGCGTTTCAATCAGGAGAGTCAAAATCTGCTACCTCCCCCGGGACGATCGCACCTGACTGATCGCCATCCACTCACCGATGAAGGAAACGTTACGGATGTACTGGAGCAGCTCCTGGCCGGCTGGCACCGGCCGCAGCTCGTCGCAGAGGCGGATCGAGCCGCACTTCGCCAGGATCATGTTGTGCAGCGCGTGGGCCAGCGCGTACACGGCGTCCACTGGCGACAGAACGGGCGTCAGCGGCGGCAGCACGCACAGACGTCGGTGATACCAGGACTGGTGTCAGCGGCGGCAGGACGGGCATCAGTGGGACAGGATGGGCGTCATGATGACAAGGCAGGCGTCAGAATGACAAAACGGATGTCAGGGGCGGCAAAGCAGACGCCAGGGGTGGCCGCACAGGTTTCGGACATCGCAGAGCTGGTGTCAGGGGACAGGACAAGTGTCAAGGGCCGGACAGGCGTCAGGAGGACAAGATGGGCATCAGGCGGGCAGATGTTGCGGGGCCCAATGAAGACGTCCGGCGGGAAGGAAATGTGTCAGAAAAGGCAGGACGTTTGTCAGGGGCCACAAGTCCGGTGTCAAGACCGGCCTTGCTGATATTGGAGAGCAGGATAGCGTTAAGAAAGACGGCAGGGGCGGGTTAGGCACCAAGCGATAGGGCAGATGCCGGGAAAAACACGACAGGCGTCATGGTCAGGACAAAATCCTCACTTTAGCGAGGTTCCAGCATCTAAGCCAAGAAAGGATCCATTGACGAAAACTTGAGATCTAAGTTCTAAGGAGAGTGCTCCACATTCGTACGTGGTTTTGATTTAATAATATCTGATGCTAGCTTCAATATTTTCACTCCACATTCGTGTGTGGCTTTGATTTCATCATATCTGATGCTTACTTCAATATTTTCTACACGGAAAATTCCCATAAAGCCAGTTTTCAGGCATCGGAGCGCCGCCTCAAACGTTGTGGTGATCCTGGGACCCCAAGGACCCATGTCTGCACCAATGCCACAGGACCTGTTTAAAATGATTATCTTGACCTTCCAACATTCAGATATTGGATACCGTTCGGCATTCTCATTTGAAAAGGAGATTCCGTTCATAATTACAAGTGTGACAAGCTTTTGTCTTCCAGTTTACGGATGGATTGAGACGATATATCAGCGCCACGGATGGAATAATTGCTCGGACTACCGTGCTCGTCAGGTGGGTTAGCGTAGTTTACACACTAGACAAGGACGATAATCCGAACAATGATTTCATCCGTGCTGACTTTATATTGCATACTTGGCGACGAAACAAGCTATCGCTTACTGCACGCCAGCGGAAAAATGGTACTTAGAGCTGTTTCAAAGGTCCGAACCGGGAACAAATATGCCGGTATTCATTCATTCATTCAAGAGCGCAGCTGGCTGACGCCTGCAAATCAGATGTCGATGTATCCTGTCCAAATGATCCGAAACCGCGGAATAGCCCGTTGAGTGGTTTATCTTGTCATCCGTCTTCAAGTGCACCCAAGATAAGCCATCGCAGATGTTACTCCACGATAAACAGCGGCTTTGTTTAAGTAGTTAAACGTTCACCGAACAAAAGATTCATTTGGTCTTTGGTCCAACGCGAAATGCGAAATACAAAGCATTAAAATGCTTCTTAGATACGCATGCAAATATGTTATGAGTCACGTGCCACAAGTATTTTTATTTCTGCCACGCGAAAATTCCGATTTTATTTGCTCTCGCCATCGGGTACACGTACCATGCCATTTAACATGGCATCCAGCCAACATTCCATTCGCAGTGATGGTGATTGTCGAACGAAGCTTTCGTGGCTTATTCATGCCAGGTGAGAGCTCGCAAGCCAATCCAGTCATAAAGCATTGCAAATCGGTTGCCGAGAATCTGTTCCACTCAAGTGTGCTCTCAGGATTGTAAACCATCAATGGATGCTTGTGGAGAAGCGAGAACAGCCAGAGCAACGAGATGACGAGATACCTCCCCAGGCTTTGTTGCTTGTCAACACAAGGCCTCAACCAATGCCGTCTTCCCTTCCTACCCGTTATTTCGCACGATCCCGGCTATTTTGACTCTGCTCACGATTGCCGCCGTATTACCCCATTTATCCTTCGGGCCGCCTTTCCCAGCTCGAGCTTCCCCAGCCCGCCCGCCCCCACTCCGCCCGTATCAACAACGCACGTCGGGTCGCCGTCGTTATCAGCGCATCAGAAGCCGCGCCGCGCGGCGCCCGCAATTTGCAAAACAATCTGCCGCGGACGCCGCGGCTTCAGTGTCCCGGCGGCGTGGCTGAGCCGGCGCGCTGGCACCCATCGGCGGCGTCGGCGGGCGCGGTCGGCAGCTCGCCCTGCTGATGACCGACAAATGGCGACGATACGTTAGCGCGCGGAATTGCACCGAAGCCCAGACAGCTCATTTATAGGAGTTAATATTAGACGAGATTAGCATGGCGCGTGCCGCGGCCGGCGTCTCGGCGGTGGGGGCCGGGCGTGTTGTTGTGCTCGTCCGCCGGCTGCTGCGCTGACTGCTGCGACAGCGCGTTTCGAGCCACGCCGCCGCTAATTTCCGCCCACGCGTCAGGATTTTCGTCCTGATGCGCGGCAGCAGGGAGAGAGGCGCACTGCCTGGAGGTGCCGTAGAGGTTTACGCGCGCGCCTGGGCTCGTGGCTGCGGCGAGTGCATGCAGCGGATTGAGAGGTACAATTTACAGCCGTTGTTGCTCGTGTCATGGTGCTATTCACGATCAACTGGAGCAGAACAAGTCTTGAATGTTTTGATGCGGCTCGTTTAACTGCGCTGCTAAACAGGGTCGTCATAACAGATACAGATGCTTGTAACGGCTACATCTCCATCGTTAAGACCGTTTGAAACGTTTCAGATACTACAGAAGGCGATTATTGAAGATTAATGGGGCGTGCATATGGCCATATAGCTTCTCGGAATTATTCGTAATACGAGGAAAACGGATGCCTTCTGAGCCGACGCAAGCAACATTTATGGTCTCAGCATGTAAGCCTGAAGTTTGGAGTAGAAACACGACATGGAGTTAATCTAAATAACTGGTTGTCACGATGGTTAACAGATTGCGTATACATATTCATCATCTATGTCCACTGACCTGAGCTAAACTTTTCGAGGATTTTTGTGCTGAATGTGCAGATATACTGGCCAAATGAAGGGTCCATCCTACCAATGACAGCACAAATAGTAGAACTAGAAACCGAATAACCCAGCATCGTGTACACTTGCACGTCGCACTGTCGAAAATTGAGAGCAAACGCAATCTACGTCAGTTTTGCTGTAACGTATCCACTGTGCATATTTAGCTCGGTGAGTATGAGCGTCAACATCATGAAGGAACACCCACAATTTTTTTCTCCAAAACGCTTGAACTGCTGTGTACACGAAATAGCCCCTGAGATTTCCCCGAAATCAGATGCCGTACAACATGCAATACCAAATTGGAATACTTTCATATACGCAACTTAATTTACCCATTAGAACACTCTGAGAGAGCATGATATCAACACCCTGATTTGAAAATAAAGGAGATCAAGGTAGCATGTTAAGGTTGTACCTTTTCCAGTTATAATTTCCAAAGCTATTATATCATCCCCATGAACAATCACGGAGGCGAATAAGCATGGTGCTAACGATGATGGGATAAAGCAAATATTTCCACAACTGCAAAAAAATCATAACTAGGTGCGGATATTCACAAGTTGCAGCTAAAAAGCCACTAAATCTGACCGGATCTGATGGAAGTGAGTCACCAGACGCGACACACGCACTCCTCTCACCTACAAACGGCACGAGCCCCTCCTGCTTGTACTTGGTGAGTTCCTCGCGGCCGCTGCACCTGTTGCCAGCTCTGTCCGTCTTGTCGAAGGTGCAGTTGAAAAGCTGGCTCCAGAACTCGCGGAACCAGACGTTGCGGCAGTTGATGTTGTTGATGTTGTTGTTCATGATGTTGCGCTTGCGCGACTTTCCGGACCTGCAATCCCCGGGGCGCACCCAAGGCCGCAGCAGCTTGAAGTACTCGTCGAACCCTGCCGACCGACGCAGGCATCAGTGCCGAGCGGTGCGGAGAAGGCCACTAGTGTGCGTGGGGCGGGGGTATATGGCCGTGCTCCGCGATGCATGGAGACAGTTGTCATTTGCTAATTGCTGTCTGCTTGCCGCAGTATAGCGTGGCCGGTTTTATTCCATCCAACAATACGAAGATAGCTCTGCCGGTAGCTGTGTAATGGCCACAGCTGAAGTCAAGCGGTGCCCACTGAACTTTATGCTGGACTTCTAAACCAGCTTAGGATTGGGTAATCCGTTCTACTTCTTAATTATGAGGTAGGTCTTTTCGTGTGCACGAGCGACAAGTTCAATACCACACCTTTCTAGACACACGGAAAGACAATGTATTTGCTAAAGTATTAGCTTTCTTTGCTCTGAGACGATTGGGAGCTGAATTTCTTGTTCACTTACGATAAAAAGACGCTACGTTCTCTCAAGCAATCGACCCGGATGCTTAGTTATAATCACATCATTGGTGCTCCAATGGTACCTATAGACCAAGGCAGTCACAATAAATACAACTGCGCCGCCTTCGACGCAGTGGCTTCTTTCGGGTGCGCCATGCTAAGGAGCGTTCTTTCCTGCGGTCATGACCTCTTTCACTGCTTTGACTTGGCACAGTGATCGGTGCACGTCATGACCATCCACACCGCGGCGTCTGCTCTGAGGCAGTGACGGATGCGGTCTTGAGGAAAAAAGACGCATGCACACATGGCTGTGGCGCTCTCGATGTGCGGTGTGGATACAGTGGTCAAAATACGTGGCGAACATTGTAATCGTGTTAGTGGTAGCGAAGGGATACTCTTTCATATGTATCCTACCCCTACAGATGGGCTTATTGACTCGGTCTGGAATGCCAGCCGTAAAATGCCGGCGGCATGGCATCGGGCCAACTATGCTTGCACGCGTATTCAATTCAGCGGCCGCGTGTTCTGGATGTTGAGCACCGTCGATATCATCACTCACCATATCTTTGTGTTCAGATTTCCCATATTTTTTCATCCGTTAGGGTTCGTAAGGTCGGAACTCAAGGAAGACCCAAAAACCTTTCAGTCAAGTCACGTTTGCTACAACGCTTAGAAAGACAGTTGATCACATCCGCGCAACGATGGCTGAAATAGCTCATCACCATTGAGCTGTTTGAAGCGATCGTCGATTGAACAGCAGCCTACATCGCGAGAGGCTATTGACAAGAACACCACTCATGCATGACAGCACTTCATACGTCACGTGGAGTGTAATCGCAATTACGTTCAAATTTCGAATCAACTCTCGGCGTAAGAGAAACTTAGACTTCCGGCCGCGCAAGACCATAAATTTCGTCCCACCCCAACGACATGGGGCCCACTAATTGCCAACCGTGGCCGTGAGTAAGTTATGCAAGGATTGCTAAAAAGGAACGCATTGTCTGCAGACCAGAAACTCCGTAACTTAATAATTGCTGGCTGGCATCGAAGCACGGCTAATTTGTTCGGACATGCCCAACTGACGTTATCTGCCATTAACACGCAATGTAAAGAAAATAAACAAATAATTCCTCAAAATACCAAAGCACTAAACACAAAACGCTGAAATCACAGCATTGCATGACACGAGACAGAAAAAATGCAGCACCCCCGCTACTTGGGCACTTTGAGCCATACGCGCAGGACAAAACAACCCACCGAAAACTGTAACGATGTCACATTCCCTGAACTTCCAAAGCAAGAGAGCACCCGGTACAATAAATAGCAGGCCTCGACACTGCTTTCTGTGAACAAAACTCGTCAGATATTCCAACTAAATACCGTCGAGACACTAATTCCTTCGCCCCCCCCCCCCCTTCACCTCCCCCCCCCCCTTCTAACCTCCGACGTCAGCCAACCGACTTGTGCATACCACCACATTCGCGAGCGCCCCCCCCCCCCCCCTCCGCCACTGACCGGGGACAGTCGTGCGCTGCGGCAGGATGGTGATGGCGCCCTCGGCCACGTGCTCCTGGTTCCTCACGGGGTGTACCTTGGCGCCCCAGGAGTCACTGGCCACCCAGAGGAAGCGGTCGTGATGTTTGGCACGCAACGGGCCGCCGCCAGCAGCTCTCCTGCAACCGAGGCAAGGGTCAACGGGAAAGTGCCGGGGTTCGAAAACCGTCACGCGACGCATTTTGTGCGGCTTGCCCGCAGACATAACGGTGTGCATGCCGCACGACGCAGATTGTGACGCTGAGCACGGAATCAGGGCATGGCTTCGGAGGGGAACTACATTAACTTAAAGATTAGAGGCATTGCAGCGACAATGACAAACGCCCGCGGACAGTGTGTAGAACCCATCAGACATAACGCCTGGTGGAAAGGCGAAGACTGTGAGAAGACTAACACCTGATAGAAAGGCATTACGAGAAGGCAGGTGCCAAGCCCCGTTGAGAGAAACTCCAGCAGGGAGTTGAGAGCACGAGACCGTTAAACAATAAAACGGACGCTCGGGATGGAAGGCGCTACGAGTGGCGTGAAAAACTTGCCGTTGGATTCAGCAGCCACTCAGGGTAAGCCCGCATCTGTTGTTGTTAGCTAACAAAACTTGCAGTGAAAGCGTCACGTTTGGAGCAAAATCCCGCGCTTTATAGTAAACACATCACAGTTTAGACGACGAGAAACGCAATGACGATAGAAATCGACGCCTGATGCTGCAACACATTTCAAAGCTTGACGATATTTTGTTCTGTTTTTTTTTCGGAAACGTACACCTGGCTGAATTACAGTTACAGCAAAACTAAAGAGCATCCTGCATGCTTAAGTGCTCACTATAGGATGTCTGCAATAATTCTGTCAGCCTCCAAAACTGGAGCGACAACCTTTTCACCATGGAAGCTGACCTGAATGAGCTCTGTGTTCTGACTACGACCAGAGACTAGTCTAAAGCTAGTGCTATCGCCACCTGTGACAAATACAAACAAGTTCTTGACCCGATCGACCTGATTTACCGTGGTCGCTGCAGAGTCGCATGTTTGGATGGAAAAGTAAACCTCAGAGCGCCCTCGCCCTCGCTCTCGCCTGACCGCCGCGCACCATGGTCCGCGGCGACAGGCGCACGGCGCTCCACTCCGCTAACAATAATGGCCGGCAGGCCCATGACATGTGCATCTGTTGTGTGTTAGTCACATCAGGACATCTTCAGTCCGCCACCGCGATGGCATGGGCGACGCGAGCCTCGCGCACTGCATGGGAATTGATCCAGAGCCCTCCATCCGACATCCCACGTGCCGGAGCCGATTGCACCGCTCCGCGCCGCCGGCTGCCGCTCCCCATCCGTCTCCTCTTCCCCCCGCAGCGCCGCGGCGATGGAAGCACCTGCACCGTGTCAGCGCGGCCGTGAAGGATGTGGCGGAACAACAACTCGCCCCGCTCCACCGCGTTGTGCGCATGAATAAACAAGCGGACGCTGCCGGCGGCTATCAGTGTGGTGGTGCCTTATTCGCAGCCGCCGGGAGGCATGCGAGCAGCCGACTGCGGCGGCTGCCGCGTCGGTCCCGACCGGCAGGGTCGGGACCGGCCGAACGGACGGCAGCCCGCGCTCGATCCCGACCGGCAGGGT